TATCAAGCAAATTCAATTTCAACTATATTTTTTAATTACCTAATTCCTTTCTCTTATCTTTTATATTTCTTTTCTCTTTACCAAATACTACCTTAATGGTTAAATTAAATTTTTTTGAAATTGAATAACCTAAATTTTGTAATTAAAATAAGGAGACTAAAATTATGAATTAAAATCAAATGAAATTAAAATGTAATTTAGAAAGAAAAGAAAAAGTAATAGAGCAATAGACAGAAAATTCGTAGTTTAAAGGTGAAATTTGAACATGAGAACTTCAAATATTTTGTAAAAAAGGGTGTGAAAAATGACAAATGCTAACAAGTATAAGAAGCATATCAGTTAAAAAAATATAATATAGAGTTTTATTAAAGTATAATTATTACTATTTATAAAAAAATGTTTTTTTTTAAATATATTTTATAAACTAAATATCAAACGATTAAATTAACATTTATAGTCCAGCAAGTCTTCTCGAGTCCGAGTAATTCTGGATTCATGCAAAATAATATTTTAAATAAAGTATAATGTTTGAATTTTGTAAATGAAAATGATTAAAAATTTAATTATAAATGTTTAATTAAGTTCGTGAACAATAATTAACTATATATCGATAAAAGTGATATATTATGAATAAAAGTGATCAATACTTTGCAGTTATAACAAGTAAACAAATTAACATTTCATGAACCGGAAAATTAATGCATTGTGTTTGGAACAAGGGAAAGAAGAAAAATGAAAGGAAGGAATTAATACGTATTTTTTTTAAAAAAATTCCTTTGTTTGGTACATAAAAAAAAAAAAAAAAAACAAATAGGAGAGATTTTTTTTGTGTGGATATCACACTAAAACTAGTTCTCTTTAATTTGAAAAAAAAAACAAAAAGCAAAGTTAAAAATCAAAATTATTGTTATACCCATTACAATTATATCACATACAAGCATATAATTATTATATCTAATTATTTTCAGAACAATTTATATATTTTATAAATATACTTATTTTTTGAGCATGTCATTAACACTATATATAGGATAGTTATAAGTGTGTTATTCTCTATTTGTTGCTTTTATTCATAAAAAATACTTATTTTTTATTTTACAAAATAATTAGTGAATCTTATTTTCTCTATTCATTTTTTTTCTTTTCACTTTCTTTGTTTTATTTTATTTTTTGATGCAACCATCACATGTGATGGTGAGTTAAGTGAATCTCAAATGCAAATCTTCACACTATTGATGGTAAAATCAGTTAACCGAAAAGCATGATATCCTTACTGGTACAGTGGTACGTCAAAGTTGATTGGTAAGATAAAAACAAAAACTTAAAATAACAAAACAAAGTCATTACTAGACCTATTATTAATTCGGAACCAAAACACGGTCCGAAATTTTAAAATATTAATATTTTATAATAAATTTATTATTAAATAATTATTTAATTTAATATTTTATAATTTAAGTTAATTTTTTAAACTTTCGAAATATATTTCGGA